AATTACTCGTAGTTTCTACTGTGCCTGAACTTTTTATCAATGTTATGCGATAATCGAATAATAGTCGTACATAATAACTAAATATTTGAAAAATAATAGGAATCAAAATTTGGTACAATTTAGTGATAAAAAGTACACTTTGAATTACATTTTCATACAAAATTGGAAAATGCAATTATCAACACTGGTACATAGTACGTATGCATGAACCAACGACTACAGATCACGTAATCCGCCATCGTTGTATTTGTAATCGATTTTCAGAAAAAAGTTTTCGTTGCGTTTTTGATGTTTTTTGGTTCTGTTTACATCGTCTTCTACCTCTTCGTAGTGATATTTTAGCGATTTTATGTGTTTTCTGCAGCGGTTTTAATTAGAAATTTTGATTTATTACAAATTTATGATATAATATGAAGTGCTTTGTGATTGGAACAAGTTTGTGCGTCTGTTCGATTTGCCAAGAGGCGTAAATTTGCGTGAAAAGTGGGTGCACATTTGTGGTCAGAACGTTGGCATTGAAAAATCGGCCGGTGCCGATAATATGCGATTGTAAAACACTCTCAATCATTAAAACCATATTTTATGAACTTTTTTTGCTAATTGTCATCAAGTTTCACTTTTTATATTTTATAATAAATACAAATCTAATCGCACTCAATAACCGCGCCTTTTTCGTTTTCTTTGTTTGTTTTCATTTTTAGGCAGATGTCAAAAACGCTCAGAAATTTACTTTTTTCATTCTTTTCCGATTGCGTGATCTTGTTAGTTGGTTCATGGTACGTATGCATGTATATGCAAATAGATATCGTCACCAAACACGAATAAAGGCGCGATAGTGTTTTGACGGCGAAAAAAGGCGCATAAACAAATAGTCTGTTCCAATAGCAGTCCGGTTTACAGGATTTAGTCAGAACTTACAGGAAGTCGTTCCTATTGACATAAAGCCTGTAAGTGGGAACACATTTGAGAGAGTAACTGAGCAACTGTTCCTAGTCAGAAGTTACAGGATTTAGTCCGGAGTTTCTTTTACTGTAAGTTCATGAAAAGTGTCAAACGGTCAGCTGATTTGCATGTGCAAGCAAAAACTAACAGCGGTGAAAGCAAAGTACCTTATATTTGTAAAAAAAAATTTAAGTAAACAACGAAATGTTTGAATATGTATAGATTTTAATAATTCTTAGTGATATTTCAGCTAAATCAGTGTTGTACAAATGGCATGTAAACAAACCGACTGACGTTTTTACAGGAAATAGTGCTTTTTGCGTTCCTATGCACTTCTGCATCTGTTCTCCTTTTACTCTCATTTGAGAGAGTAAAATTGTAGTTTGACAGTTCCACAGGTTTTAGTCCGAAGTTCAAAGGAACAGACTAATGTTAAGAGTTTTTGACGCTAAAGTTTTTTTATGCGTCTTTTTTCGCCGTCAACTTTTGAGCTCGCGCCTTTATTCGTGTCTAGTGACGATCAGTGGTGCCAGATATGCGGATTTCGCCCCATTTTGGGTATTTCTGAAACCATTTGGGGATAGATTTTTTCGTTTGGGGATGTGGGGATTTGATGGGGATTTTTGTTTGGTTTAAAATATTCATATTGAAATTAAAATACATACATTTTACTGCCTGCCCTTAAACATTTCTCAAACAAAGATTATCTTTGTCAAAGCATTATTATTAAAGTGGCAAGCGCACAAAAAAAATTTGACGAACTTACAGACAGCAATGGGAATAGGAACCTTGGGCCTTGTTGTTAAATAGTCTCTAAAAACCATAAAAAATAAGAAACCGCTATACGTAAATAACCAAATGATCTCATATATATGTACACATATACATCTGTGAAAATTTAT